GTTTCCCAAAGTGGTTACTTCAATTCCAAAATTTCCCTGATGAAATTATACCAGTTAGAGAGATAAACATACTAGGTCTGAAAACTAAGTTCGAGAACTTGTTGCAACGATGTTGTTAACCTTTTTTGGTATCAGAGGGATTATTCACTATGCATTTGTACCAACTGGACAAATAGTTAAGCAAGTTTATTATTTGGACGTGCTGAAAAGGCTGCGTGAAAAAGTCAGACGACCTGAACTTTTCACCGACAATTCATGGCTCTTGCATCACGACAATGCACCAGCTCACATGGAACTGTCTGTGAGGGAGTTTTTAGCCAGTAAACAAATTTGTATTGGAACACCCTCCCTACTTACTTGATCTGGCCCCTAATGATTTCTTTCTTTACCTGAAAATTAAAGAAAATATTGAAAGGAAGACATTTTGATGACATTCAGGACATCAAGGGTAATTAATATAATGACAGCTCTGATGGCCATTCCACAAAAAGAGTTCCAAAAATAGCTTTGAAGGTTTGAACTAGGCACTGGCGTCGATGCATAGCTTCCCAAGGGGAGTGCTTCTGAAGGTGACCGTAGTGATATCCAGCAATGAGATATGTAGCACTTTTTTTTTAAAGATTTTATTGAGGAATTGGTGGAGGGAACAGTGCTGGGGAATCAGGGAAGGGGAACAGACAAGTTGCTGTCCTTTTGTTCTTCAGTCTAGTTGTGGAGGACATCGCTTCAATGTGCCACTCGGCTGGCCCTGTAGCACTTTTTCTACGATAAGTTCATGAACGTAAATTGTCAGACCTCATATGTGCTACCATTAAAGTGAGAAAACGTGAAAGGTACTTGGCCTGGAAAAACCACAGCTTTAGACCTAGAGGGTCCCATGAAAATGATAATGTTCTCTAAGTGTGGTGCTTGTATAACTTTGTCTCCAGATTTTGGCCAAAGGCCAATTGTCACTGATCGTGGGCCAGAAATAAAAAACCTCCTGATTCTGGACAGATGAAATGAAACAAAGCAATTCTCAGGGACACAAATACAAGACTGAGGAAGAAATTCACATGTTTTTTTTTCCATTTTATTGTGGCAAAATACACGTAACATAAAATTTACCATCTTAACCATTTGTAAGTGTACAGTTCAGTGGTATTAAATACATTCATAAAGTTGTTCAACTATCATCACCATAACTGTTTCATCTTGTAAAACTAAAACTCAGTACTCATTAAACAATAACTCCCCATTCTCCCCTCCTCCTAGGCCCTGGCGCCCACCATTCTACTTTCTATCTTTATGAATTTGACTATTCTAAGTACTTCATATAAATGGACTCATACAGTAGAGTTGACCCTTAAACGACATGGGGGTTAAAGGAGATAACCCCCACACAGTAAAAAATCTGCATATAACTTTTGACTCCCCCCAAACTTAACTACTAATAGTTAAGTCAAGGATGCTTCATGGTTTTTGACCTGAGAAGCCGGGTGAACGAGGACCATTTATTGAGATAGGAGATCCCGAGAGAGAAGTAGCTTGTGTGTGTGTGTGTGTGTGTGTGTGTGTGTGTGTTCGCGCGTGCGGTTATCTGCTTCTTAGCTCCGCGGGCACTCCTGAATAGTTCAATTTTGGGGAAGTTAACTGAGATGCCTATTAAACAGCCAAAGGGAATGTTGAGGAGGCAGTTGGATTTTGAATCTGGATAGGCCCA